TTTACACCCTTGTATTCTTACATTTGTAAAATTAATTTGACGAATTCGTGTTAACATGACACTTAGATTCAATGAATTTACTAAATAATGTGATTTTGTCATGCGACATTTAATTAATATGTAAAACCATGGCATGATAGTGTTTTTTGCAGTTTAGATTTATTCGACCATTTTTTTGGTATTTACTGCATGGACAATTACAGGAACTTACGTGAGGTGTTTTTTGTTCAATAATCGTTGTCGACGAGTGGTACCACCATTATCAATAAACGAAGTCACAATAAGTAACATGATCAGAATCAACACTAGTTTCTTCATATTGGACAATGGCACGATGTATGAATAAGAGTCCCTGCATACCAGAATAAAATAATACTTATACGGAAAAGAAGACATAATTAACATAACATACATGTTGGCCCAATTTGATAGAACAAAAATGCTAAATATAGATAACTTCTTGTTGGAAATTCTGATCAACTGCAGAACTTAGTTTTCTTTCTATTGTGTCAGGAGTATTCGAGTATGGAGCGAGCAATCTTTCCTTTCACTTCTTGAAATTACTTGAGTATCACTTTAAAAAATTCTTGCTAAATGAGCTATGTAGTTTCTTATCGTGATCATTAGGAAAATATGTATGGTATTTATATTATTTCCCAACATATTTTATCTCATGATAAAACTGATTTTATTCTGAGGTTTATGAATATTGCTTTCCATGGGATTTATCACTAATTAGGCTGTGACCGGACGAATAAATTCAGTCCACATGCGCAGGTCTATGTTTTTACTTATTCCACTGCTGCATAGTACACTCGGTATGCGGATTGGTGTAACCTGTAAAATCTGTATAATATTTCAGCAAAAAACAAAACAACTCGCCAGAAGCATTTTTTATTTGTGGTTCACAATCGAGTTATAGTAGTATGGAATTTTTACTAGCCTTTACTCTACTGTTTTATTTTGAGACATGTTTAACTAATTGATTTGACGGGTTGTTATTATGTTTATATTCACATACGCCTATTTTTTCAAGAGTAATGATAATATTATGTATTTTCCACCCAAATCTGATTCTGGTGAACAATATATAGAGGTATATAATGACAATTTACGATAAATGTCAAAATAATGTTCAAATTAAAATTGTATTCCCAACAAGCCCTATATCATAGTGCCCACGTTAAATCTATTACTTAAAACTATCGAAGATGGAAAAACAACCCAAAATTCAAATGTCCGGAAACTGTGACTGTTCAGAAACTGAGTGAGCCTTGACGACTATTATGAGCACTATTTGGACCATATTGTGATTATTCATCACAGGGATGTGATTCTGTTATGTAATATTACACTACGTCTACAATAGAAAATTGTGAATAATACCGAATAAACTAAGAGGTTACCAGGCAGGTGCACAGTTAATTAACAAAAGTTGTCATCTAGGAACACATCTACATGAAATATATTTGAATGCTTACCTGTCGAAGGATTCTGTTGAGTGATTTATTATTAGGCAACACCATGGGATAGCATAGCAAATCCGCTCTATGTAACACAGATTGCTATTGGTAGGAAACAAAACTGCAGCTTTTATTCTATTATAATAATTTATGAAAGTTGCTACAATGATGGATAAAACAGTTTTGCCGTGCTCGTAAGGAAATAATTGATAAGTGTTTGTGAAATGAAGTACACAGAAAACAAAACTGGTCTTCCCGAAACATGATTTGCATATTACTGTTAAACTCCAGCAATCAATCAACATTAATTATGAAATTTGTATGCAAATTAAACTGTTAAAGTAAGAAAATATGTTTGTAAAGAATTTAAACCTGGTTTATTACGTGTCACAATAGAATTTTGAAATGTTCAATCAGGAACAAAGACGTTGTGTGCTATATATAAAGTTGAAAAAATGAAATTTCATATCTAAATGCATTTTTCCTGTACCGCCAGCCTAGGGGATTATCACTATTCTGTACAGTACTGTACTGTACTATTTAAAGATACATTTAACAAAATCCTTTGCGGCTTGTTTACCAGAAATTTGTATTATTTTGCTTATTACATGCATCTAGTTTTTAAACAGTAAGTCCCACATCGTTTGCCTCAGATGAAAAATATATTCATGATTTACGGTGTTCATTTATTACTACACAGCACCATGGGTGACATGGCATGAGCTATGTAGACTATATTCCTCCATCTGGCAGTGTGAATGCGTTCAAGACGTAAAAATAGAAACGAAAGCCTGGCAAGCAAGCACCATATCGGAAAAGAAATGTGGGCACTAATAAAAAGCATCTACAAAATGTTTGCAAATTTTAAAATGAAATTTTTCACTATTATAAGAGAAGTGGACACATTAAAGTTGCATGTGAAAAGCTTAAGCGATTTAAGGCTGCCGATCACATGACTGAATCAGAAGGAGCGAGCAGTGATACCCAACCATAATATATGACAATGTTTTTGGGCACTGCCTATCCGATCAACTACTTGGGAAGTCTAGCAATTCAAATTCTGGTGGATATACAACAAAGCATCATCTGTTGAACAATATCCTATTCCTCCTTTCGAGTATTTGATGTCACAACTGGCAGGTGGTGAAAGATTTACAAAACATGATTTGTCCGATGCTGGCAATTAATTATTTTTAGATGAAGAGTCTAAAACACTTCTTACAATAACTCAACACAGGGGTCTATTTCCAATTTTTCCCTGAAATATAGAGGCGTGTGAGAAAGATAGTATTTCAGTGAGTAGATCAAGAAGCGAGATAAAAATACCAGAAAGATTTAAGAATGTTGTATTAATAGATATAAACAAAAAGTATTTACACAAATGTTGCTTGTTATACGTACAGTCTTGTTAAAATTGACTGTTAGACGTTTAATTCTGAATGGTGTTATAAAAAAATAATTTTGAGAAACAAAATGTAAGTTTTAGCTAAGGGTAGAAAAATGTAATATAATGATCTTATTGACATATTTCATGACCCTCAGTGTATGTAAAAGATGCAGTTGCTATTGACACATTAAACACGTAACACACACGTACCATTTCTATTTCAGTTCATTTTCTCTGAAAAATCATCTTTTTTTCAAATGGAAATCAAAGTTTCTCAGTTGTCTTAAATATTTCTTCTAGCTTTCTTCGTTTGTGCCCAACCACACTTACTCCGCTATCTTTAAATATGCAGCTGACTTCCGGAATGCATATATACCGGTGTCTTTTGACATTTTATATTGTTGTCCTTAGCATAGACATATTGAATTATAACATGTCTGACGGTAATTTAGTATCGGGAATTGATGTCCAGCAGTTGTCGCACATTGCAATACCATGGACGTAAACCTCAAGGTTACAAGTTACAATATTATACATACTAAGAGGAAATAATGATTGCCTAATTTTTGATCGAATTGGAGTGAATATAGTGATAACAATTACAAATGTCCAAATAGCCAGACAAAGTAAACATAAGAGCAAATCATTGCTGAATTTGCAAAAGTTTGCCTTTTGTGGGTATCCTATAGTTTAATCTGGGGCAAACGATTTACAAAATACAAATTGTCAAAAATTACTTTTGAAAAACTAGCCGCATCTAAATATCAAAATAATAACAATTGCTGACAAACAACCCGCCACATTATAACGTATCTCAAAATAGCACAGTACAATATAGAATAATGACGACATTCGATCTCACAACAGATCTGCTCAGATTTTTTTCCCAAAATCATGCGACTATTTGTTTTTTTGATGAAATATTATGCAAATTGCATTGGTACATCAATGCGACAACCATGAACACTTTGCAGTGGTAGAATACGGGAAAAAAGTAAACCCGCACATTTGTTTGGCGCGAATGTTGACAGAATATTGTGTGTTTCTTTCCCAGGTTAACTAGTCATAAATCCTAGAAAAAACAATGTTCATGGCCTCAGAATAAAATCAGTGCACTCATTGAATAAGATATGTTGAAAAATGTATAGATAAACATTCATATATCCTAATGATCATCATAAGAGATTGCTTAGCCTTTCGCTCAAAAATGATTTAAAGTAATACTCATGCTTTTCAATAAGTGAAAAGGAAAAGCTCCTCGCCCCATACTCGAATACTCCTAACACGATACAAAGGCAAATTAAATTCTACAACTCATCCAAAGGTCCAACAAAATGTTTTATATATTCAGTTAATTTCATCTACCAAAAAAGGTCAACTTGTATGTCATGTTAATTATGTTTTCATTCCCGTATATGTATCAGTGTAAACATGAAATCAGGGACATAAAGTCACTCTAAGTTTGATGGTGATATCTACATAATGTTCCAGTGAATTGGAGTGAATATAGTGATAACAATGACAAATGTCCAAATAGCCGGACAAATAAACAAAAGAACAGATCTTTGCTGAATTTGCAAAAGTTAGCCTTTTGTGGATGTCCTATAGTTTAATCTGGACTCATCATGACAATTTAAATACTTTTAGAAAAAAAGAATGATGCCGATTCGATGTCAGAATCAGAAGTTGATCAGAATAAATTGTTGTTCTCGGAACTCTTCTGTCTTTAACTTTAGTTTATTTGTCACAATGTTTCAAACCACCAGGGTATGCACTGACAATGTTATCCAAAATGTCTTGATGGAAAGTAATACACTAGCATTATAACCTTCGTGGAATTTAAACCACAATTGTGCATTCACTCTAAACACATGTCAAACAACTGCCCTATATATAGCACCCTCTACCGAAACTCTCCTCTTTTACATATATTTTCCTAAGGTCAGAGTGTCTATACTGTTTTCATCATGGTTTATGTGGTGTAATGTATAACCACAGCTACACAACCAAACATAGCTAAACATATTTAAACAGTTTTACTGACAACCTCCTTCTTTAGAGAAACGCTTCTATAGAGGGTGTGGCATATTAGCATCTATCAAAACATTCCCAAAACGCCATCCCACTATAAAAAGTCATAACATGATATGCAAGTTATAAGGCCATATTTTTATTGACATAATCTACCATCTAAACAAGATAGTATGTATAAGCCAACAGCAACAAGGTGTTTCCATTTCTTGATTGAGATAGTATCATCCGCTTTCTCGACCTTGTAATTCTTTTACCCTTTCTTCCAAATCCACGACTTCTTGTATGTTGTCACTGAAAGTAAAGGTATTAATTGATAGTGACGAATTATATTTATATTATAGTATGTGCAATCAAATTCTACCAACAATCTCAGATTAAAATTATCTGTTCAACCTGTAAATTTAAGTACACTAGGAATTGTTTAATACAGGTAGGTGTGCTGTTTTAGGTAACTTTTTAACACCCTTGTATTCTTACATTTGTAAAATTAATTTGACGAATTCGTGTTAACATGACACTTAGATTCAATGAATTTACTAAATAATGTGATTTTGTCATGCGACATTTAATTAATATGTAAAACCATGGCATGATAGTGTTTTTTGCAGTTTAGATTTATTCGACCATTTTTTTGGTATTTACTGCATGGACAATTACAGGAACTTACGTGAGGTGTTTTTTGTTCAATAATCGTTGTCGACGAGTGGTACCACCATTATCAATAAACGAAGTCACAATAAGTAACATGATCAGAATCAACACTAGTTTCTTCATATTGGACAATGGCACGATGTATGAATAAGAGTCCCTGCATACCAGAATAAAATAATACTTATACGGAAAAGAAGACATAATTAACATAACATACATGTTGGCCCAATTTGATAGAACAAAAATGCTAAATATAGATAACTTCTTGTTGGAAATTCTGATCAACTGCAGAACTTAGTTTTCTTTCTATTGTGTCAGGAGTATTCGAGTATGGAGCGAGCAATCTTTCCTTTCACTTCTTGAAATTACTTGAGTATCACTTTAAAAAATTCTTGCTAAATGAGCTATGTAGTTTCTTATCGTGATCATTAGGAAAATATGTATGGTATTTATATTATTTCCCAACATATTTTATCTCATGATAAAACTGATTTTATTCTGAGGTTCATGAATATTGCTTTCCATGGGATTTATCACTAATTAGGCTGTGACCGGACGAATAAATTCAGTCCACATGCGCAGGTCTATTTTTTTACTTATTCCACTGCTGCATAGTACACTCGGTATGCGGATTGGTGTAACCTGTAAAATCTGTATAATATTTCAGCAAAAAACAAAACAACTCGCCAGAAGCATTTTTTATTTGTGGTTCACAATCGAGTTATAGTAGTATGGAATTTTTACTAGCCTTTACTCTACTGTTTTATTTTGAGACATGTTTAACTAATTAATTTGACGGGTTGTTATTATGTTTATATTCACATACGCCTATTTTTTCAAGAGTAATGATAATATTATGTATTTTCCACCCAAATCTGATTCTGGTGAACAATATATAGAGGTATATAATGACAATTTACGATAAATGTCAAAATAATTTTCAAATTAAAATTGTATTCCCAACAAGCCCTATATCATAGTGCCCACGTTAAATCTATTACTTAAAACTATCGAAGATGGAAAAACAACCCAAAATTCAAATGTCCGGAAACTGTGACTGTTCAGAAACTGAGTGAGCCTTGACGACTATTATGAGCACTATTTGGACCATATTGTGATTATTCATCACAGGGATGTGATTCTGTTATGTAATATTACACTACGTCTACAATAGAAAATTGTGAATAATACCGAATAATCTAAGAGGTTAACAGGCAGGTGCACAGTTAATTAACAAAAGTTGTCATCTAGGAACACATCTACATGAAATATATTTGAATGCTTACCTGTCGAAGGATTCTGTTGAGTGATTTATTATTAGGCAACACCATGGGATAGCATAGCAAATCTGCTCTACGTAACACAGATTGCTATTGGTAGGAAACAAAACTGCAGCTTTTATTCTATTATAATAATTTATGAAAGTTGCTACAATGATGGATAAAACAGTTTTGCCGTGCTCGTAAGGAAATAATTGATAAGTGTTTGTGAAATGAAGTACACAGAAAACAAAACTGGTCTTCCCGAAACATGATTTGCATATTACTGTTAAACTCCAGCAATCAATCAACATTAATTATGAAATTTGTATGCAAATTAAACTGTTAAAGTAAGAAAATATGTTTGTAAAGAATTTAAACCTGGTTTATTACGTGTCACAATAGAATTTTGAAATGTTCAATCAGGAACAAAGACGTTGTGTGCTATATATAAAGTTGAAAAAATGAAATTTCATATCTAAATGCATTTTTCCTGTACCGCCAGCCTAGGGGATTATCACTATTCTGTACAGTACTGTACTGTACTATTTAAAGATACATTTAACAAAATCCTTTGCGGCTTGTTTACCAGAAATGTTTATTATTTTGCTTATTATATGCATCAAGTTTTTAAACAGTAAGTCCCACATCGTTTGCCTCAGATGAAAAATATATTCATGATTTACTGTGTTCATTTATTACTACACAGCACCATGGGTGACATGGCATGAGCTATGTAGACTATATTCCTCCTTCTGGCAGTGTGAATGCGTTCAAGACGTAAAAATAGAAACGAAAGCCTGGCAAGCAAGCACCATATCGGAAAAGAAATGTGGGCACTAATAAAAAGCATCTACAAAATGTTTGCAAATTTTAAAATGAAATTTTTCACTATTATAAGAGAAGTGGACACATTAAAGTTGCATGTGAAAAGCTTAAGCGATTTAAGGCTGCCGATCACATGACTGAATCAGAAGGAGCGAGCAGTGATACCCAACCATAATATATGACAATGTTTTTGGGCACTGCCTATCCGATCAACTACTTGGGAAGTCTAGCAATTCAAATTCTGGTGGATATACAACAAAGCATCATCTGTTGAACAATATCCTATTCCTCCTTTCGAGTATTTGATGTCACAACTGGCAGGTGGTGAAAGATTTACAAAACATGATTTGTCCGATGCTGGCAATTAATTATTTTTAGATGAAGAGTCTAAAACACTTCTTACAATAACTCAACACAGGGGTCTATTTCCAATTTTTCACTGAAATATAGAGGCGTGTGAGAAAGATAGTATTTCAGTGAGTAGATCAAGAAGCGAGATAAAAATACCAGAAAGATTTAAGAATGTTGTATTAATAGATACAAACAAAAAGTATTTACACAAATGTTGCTTGTTATACGTACAGTCTTGTTAAAATTGACTGTTAGACGTTTAATTCTGAATGGTGTTATAAAAAAATAATTTTGAGAAACAAAATGTAAGTTTTAGCTAAAGGTAGAAAAATGTATATAATGATCTTATTGACATATTTCATGACCCTCAGTGTATGTAAAAAGATGCAGTTGCTATTGACACATTAAACACGTAACACACACGTACCAT